TTCCTTGTCAACACCTGGAATTCTTATCAATATCCTAAAGTATCTCTCTTCTTATGGAAACTTTATAAAAACATCCTTCCTCTCCCTAATACACTAACACGTTTTGGCCAGAGCTTGCCCTCTATTTGTTTTCTTTGCAGGGATAATCAAGAAGAAGCAAATCATATCATGAAACAATGCCGTTACAGCAACCAAATATGGACCTACTTTGAACAGATTTTCAACATCCCTCACAGCACAACACATGGAATACGTGCCTACCTTATGACGTGGTGGAGAAACACAGACATACCTGGAACTTGCAGAGTGTTCAAACAATGTGCCCTAGGGATCATCACATATGAAATCTGGAAAGAAAGAAATTGAAGAGTATACCAACAAGAATCAAAAACAGCATCACAGCTTATTCAAATGATCTGGAGAAAACTAATTGAATGGATACTCGGAAAAGGAAAAGGAAGGCTACCAAATCAAATTGAATGCCCAATCAGATTACTTCCCAGGATCAAAATTTTCAAATGGACCGGAGAGCGCACCACCCTCAACACGGACGTGTCAGTTGCCGGAGATTCAATGGTTGGCGCCGCTATTCTACGAACAAAGGAAGGAGAATTTCTTGGAGCAATGAGCTTCCGTTTGCAAACGCAGCACTCCTCTGAAGATGGTGAGATGGAAGCAGCTATCATGGGCCTTAATTGGGCCATCTCAATCCAACATGGACCCATTGACTTGCACTTGGACTCCAAAAATGCAATCCAGAGAATCAATGACAGAAATGACCTACAAGAAACAAGCAGAGCAATCCAACAAATTCTTGAGTAAATCCAAGGCAATGCTAGACACATCTATCGAGAAGCAAATACTGCAGCCCATAACCTTGCCAAATTTGCCCAAAGAAATTATTTTCAATCATACACTTCTTTCAAATTGCTCCCAAAACCTGTTAAAGGAGCAATTCTTTGTGATCAAACTTGTACCATTCTTCGTTTTTAATTAATAAAATTTCCTATTAAAAAAAATATATATAAATATTTACTAAAAAGATATTTTTTTTATATGAAAATCGTTTCTGTCAACTTTCCTTCAGGCTAACTAAAAAAAATCTTACTAATAACTTTCTACGCCGATCCCCGGCAACGGCGCCATTTGGTGAAGAATTTTGGTTAAACTCAAAATTCCCGAAGTAGTAAAGGGAACAGACTAGATCTTAAAAGATCAGTTTATCCCGTGTCGTCTCAAGGATCGGCCCAAGGGATAGTTAAGCAAGACTAGCTAGACAAGATTTACTTGTTGAATCGAAAAGTTTTCAAAAAAAAGTCGAATAAGGAAGGGAGATTGAATTTTTACCTTTCAGGAATGAAAAGTAGGGATGTAATTATTGGTTAGGTGATGGTTCTTTTAAGAGTAAAATCATCAGTTACTTTTACTTTAAATCTTTTTACTAGTAAGTAAATACTTTTTCAAATATTCACTTAACAATTAATCCAATGTCTAGAGATTAATTATCAAAATTACAGGACTTAACTTAATTAAATTCCAGATTTCTCAAGAAATATTATATTCAAGAATAGATTTGCTTTCTCTCGATTTACAAATCTCAAGTATAAATTCTCAGTAATAAAAACTAGTAAATTACCTTTGACAACAACATAGTTCAACTCAATGATTTTCCCAAAAAATTACCATCACCATACCAAAAATTACATCCCAAATTAATTTAGCTACTCATAATAAAAACTTTCAACACACATGCATCATAAGAAGGCATTTTTCAATTGAGAGTAAAAAGTAGACAAACTTACTTTAACAGATCTGAAAAATAGGAGGTCCGGGCTACAATTTGCTCCGTGAAAAACTACAAAAATGATACTAATCTAAAATATGAGAGTAACTTTGTAGATCAATGCTAAAAGAAGAGAAATTCGAATTTTTGGGAGTGAAGAGTCGCTGTCCAGCGTATGAAATCGGAGAGGGGGAGGTGCTGTATTTATATGGCTGGACGCAAAGCGTCCAACCCAAGCCGTCCAGATCCAAAGCATCCAAAGTTGGACGCCTTACGCGTCCCGTCCATTCGGTGCCTGCCACGTGTCTTTCGTGATGCACAATCATTGCCTAGCGTCCAAGGGGAAGCGTCCAACCCGCAAAGCGTCCAAGGTTGGACGCTTCGGGCCTTCTCTTGTGGGCTTTTCTGCGGCTTGATCCAATTCAGGCCCAATTCCTATTTTCACTTTGATTCATGATCTCTTTTTGCTTCCTCCGATATTCTCATGATAAAATTCTCAGTTAAAAACTTCTTTTTCTTACCAATATAAGTAGAAAAATCAACAATCAAGACTGGATTAATTTTAAACCAATTATTATTCCTTAAAGAACAAATCAAAGATATTGTTCAGTTTAACATAAAATTATGCACTGCTTATCACTATTTTCGTGCAACAACGCTTAAATTATGTTGAATAAAATACGAACAAAATGCACTTATCACAGCTCAACCAAACACCATGTCAAATACCACTCAAAACATGACCCATGAAGAACTTGTAGCTTCAAATGCAGCCCTGCAAGCTCAAGTTGATTATCTAGCCAAGCAAATACCCAAGCTCACTAAACAAAAGCTAGCTATGTTGCAATCCAGTGATGATGGAGAAGAAGCTAGTTCTAGTGCCACCGTAAGAACTAGAGCTCAAGATAAGTCCAGTTCTGATTTCAAAGTGGATATTCCCATCTTTGAAGGAAAGAACGATCTGGATGAGTTCCCTGAATGGCAAGAAACAGTGGAAAGAGTATTTGATTTCAAAGAAGTATCCGACGAGAAAAAGGTCAAGATTGTAGCCTTGAAGTTTCGGAAATATGCATCTACTTGGTGGTCCAACATCAAAACCAAGAGGAATCGAGATGAGAAACCCCCGGTTGATACCTCGCAAAAGATGAAGACTCTCTTGAAAAAGAAGTTCCTACCTACTGAATACGTACGTGAGAATTTTGCTAGGCTTCAAACGCTTAGACAAGGTTCAAAATCTGTCGAAGATTACACCAGGGAATTTGAAGAACTCTTGCTAAGGTGTAAGGTATCTTTTTGGCTTAAATGCTCAAATAGCCAACACAGTTGAATTACAAGGTTTCAACACTTTTGAAGAGCTCACTAAATTAGCTCTTAAAGTGGAATCCCAAATCAGGAAGTCCAAAGCCATTTTCTCCCGAACCACCTCCTCTTACTCTAAACCAACCTACACTCCACAAAAATCCACCTCTACTACCCAGGGCCTACCCCAAAATTCCAAAACCATACCTCCTTCCAAATCATCTTCCACCCCTTTCCCACCTAAAACAACTCCTCTAACCAACAAGAGAGCTCCCTCTTGTTATCGTTGTCAAGGTACCGGTCACTATGCCAATGAGTGCCCGAACAAAAAGGTGATGGCCCTTGTCAAATATGATGATGAAGACTTTGTGTTAGGGGTGAAACGGGGGTCTTATAAAGTTGATAATTTAGTGGCGGATTTGCGGAGGAAAATGGAAGGGAAATAGTGGACGAAACTATGAAGGGTGTTTTAAGAGTTCTTTTTGGTATTTTATGGAAGAAAAGAATAGGATTAAGAAGGAGAAATAGAGGGATATGAAATGGAAGAAAAATCAGGGATGGATAAAACCAAGTTGGTGTTAAGAGATACTACACACTCTTATCCTAACTTGGGGTTTGAATCTAGAATTTAATTAAGATATGACACACTTAATCAAATATCTAGAACCTAAAACTCCCACTTAAGATAACCACTCTTAAGATATAGAATTAGGAATTTGGCTAAAATAGCATCACACTATTTTATAAATACTCAAAGAGTAAACAAAGTTTAATATTCAAGGGTTGTATATTACTGATGTACCCCTGGATGGCTCCACCAAAACCCAAACTCTCCCAACATATCCAAAAGTCTTCTTTCTTTTCTTTAATTCAAAATAAATTCTTTTCCATCCATTTTTAACCCCTGGTCAAAAATGAGATCAAAGGAAGGGAAAATAAAACCTTATTGTTTTTATCTTTTAAAGTCTTTGTTAGCCAAATAATGTCTTCCCCTTTTCTTCCTACATAAGGGATGAAATTCTAGCCCCTTTTTGTTCTAAAAATCCAACCAAATCACCACTAATCACAAAGGAACAAAATCAGCCAAAAGTCATAAAGTGGAATAGTGATTTCTTGTCTTTTCTTGACTATTTCCACACCACACCATTTAATGATCTTTCTTTGTTCCTTCTTGCACTATAGGCCGAAACAGCCCATTATCATTCTAAACCCCACAAATATCCTTTCTTGATTCATATACTAATTGCCGAAAATAATAACTCACATCAAGACAAAAGGATTCCTCAACTAGCCACACAATGTTCCCTTTTTGTTTTAACCACTAAGGGTCGAAATATGTCACCAAAACAGGCCAAACAACATATCCAAAACCCACACATCATCTTCCTTTG